GCTGTCTCAACATTGGTGTAGCCCAGAGAACGTCACAGGATCCTTACTCGTCCATTTAAACACTTTTCTGGCTGCTGCGCATAGAGAGTTCTCACTGGGTGAATGGTGTTGAGCTCAGCCTACTGGTTTCTAGGAGTTGGTTTCTCTTTCCACAAATCTGGAAAAGGCCGAGTGGGTACGTGTAGTTGAGAGAATGTGTGATGTTGCTGGAGTATCGTCTCAAAAGGAAGCGGTGCAAGAGTTGTACGCAAAGTGAGTTTTGCATCTTAGCGCTTACCATACTTCTATGGACGTTAGCAAATGGCATGTTTTTAAGAACGAGAGCGGCTATGGCGAAAGGTGGCTTCTCGTCGGATATTGCTCCATTATATACTTTCTTGATAATCTGTCCGGTGAGTGTTTCGTTTGATTTTTCATTGGCTTGTTTACGAAGATATTCTCTTCATTCTATGAAATAAATTTCTCTCTCGAGGTTTCGTTCCTTCAGTAGCATTTCTTTGCTTTACGCACGAAAACTTCCAATCATGAATAGTCAACTAATTAAGGATTTAACTACGTTCCCATGGGAAGTGATGCCGATATTTTGCGACAGTCCTTATGTGGCTCGTATCCCATCAGTACATGCTTTGTTTCAAACTCTTCGCAAAAGTTCTCAGGTATCTTTGCTCTTTGTTTTTGAAATCAGCATCTTGATTCTATATTCGCTTTTTAAAGGTACCAGTCGAAGTGAATGTTCATAATGCGTTCTATGTGCTTGACCCTGACAACAATCTGGGTGACACAAGAAGACGTATCACGGACTATGTGTCAAAGTTCGGCTGGGAAGGGGTTGTGGGCAAAATTCCTTCTGTTACAGAAGTCACCGAGGCTCTGTCACAAAGGGATGTCTTTTTGTGAGTGCTGTATTCATTTGCACCAATTTTTGTTCACTTACTGATTTGTTTACTGTACTCATTGTTTACGCTGAGCAAGCTATTCAACATTGGTATCGTTTCCAGCTATATGGGCCATGGAAGTGGTTCGAGGTACTTTAGTCGACGTGTGATCTGTGAAAATACGGTCAATGCTGTGAGTGTGCTGATGGGCTGTGGAAGGTGAGTGGAAGTTCGAAGCCCCCTTTTCTCTTTTGGAGTACAAAGGTTATCTGTCATGCGTTCTTAAATTTGCGAATCATCTTATTCAAGAAAGTACGGGCCTAAACATCCACCTCATGTTGTGAGCCAAATACCTGCTCAGGTATTTCTGCAATTCGTGTGGCTTTACAATGCATGGCGCCACCAGGGTGAACTGCTCTGATTCCGATGTTGATCAAGGGTACTTTGGAGTTACCACTAACGGCTCCATTTCCACGCTGTTTGCTCGACGCTTTTATTGTTGTACGGGTGATTGTGCTTTGGTGTTTTTGAAGGGAGAAGCAACTCTGCTCAGGTGAACCGGTTTGACTCTTCTCCCTGGGCCTAATCTTAACGGACAAGTTGCGGGGGAATGAATTGCTCACGCACATTGAACCGCGCACGGTACCTTACTATCATTTTTTTGGCCTTTGTTTGAGAGTTTATTATCTTTTCAAGTGTTCGCTTGACGCCCTATGGTTGGGGAATGGATGGTAAAAGCTCCGTCTATGATTACACTGTTGCACAATGCCCATCAATAGTTGGATGTTTGTGGACGGTAACGGATGGAGAGATCGACCGATATTTCATGGCGCTTGTAGGTTTTTATTTTTTGATAAAGTTTTAATTGCTGGAAATGTTTCAAAGCTTTCTGGTTGATTGCAGGTGGATTTGTGCTTCTCATCTGATGCGAATCGCACGTTGACCGGAACCGACGGGACCGGATTTAGTCGTCTTCGACGCTCTCGTTTGAAGGCAATGCATGCGAGTTAACATCCGAATGCAAAATTGGCCGTAACCTTACGGGGAGCGTCGGTTTGTTTCGTATGGTACATTCCGGTAATTGCCCATGGAATAGGGACCAAAACACATACCTGGAAGAACTGGTGCTCATTGCTCTCGGTGTCTAGTCAGTGCCGTTTTATAAGAAGTCTCATGATAGTCCAGATTTATTGTAACCCTTTGCTTGCTGTTGTATTTTAACGTCCAAATAACGTGAAGCTCACTGAAATTTTCAATGTTTTATGTTTGTCGTGGTTTTAGCGGTTTTTACAAAGGAAACTTATGGGTTTTCGTGATCTGACACAAAGAAAAACTCACTTCCTCTTTGTCATGTGAATAGTTTCGAATGATCTTTCATGTTGATAACGTTGTTCAGGGTTTTATCAGATGTATTCAAATTATAAAAGTTTCTTTTTCATGTGGACGCCTTTCTGCTTCAACTTCATTTTGATCGTTTTGTTTTGGTGTCGTTTTGCAAAGGTGTGACGCGTTTAACACCTGACTGCAGCGCGACTATGCGCGTATCTGTCACATAATAAGATCACGACTTCTGTTTTGACCACACTCTGGCAAATTATTGTACAACGCGTGGGTTAATATTAGGTACCGGATATCTTAATGTCGTTTTTCTGAGTTCAGGAAGTTTCGGGGCCGATTACCATGGAAAATCAATTTCTCAGAACGTTCTTTTTGCTTATTAATACTACGTAATATGTTGCTTATTAGTCCCTATTGTTACTTTACAATTTACCTCTCCCCCAATTTTTATACCTTTTTCTGAAAATTCCTGGGTTCATTGCGCAAATTCGTATGTGTGTACCAAATGCCATCAAAGTCGGGCTGGGAGCTACAGATCCGCCAACCAAACTAACATTGCTTTTGTTAGGAAGGAATACTACCGTTTGGAATGCTCACCGGTTCTCCTAAGTTTTCTAAAAGACAGTGAAGTTTTTGAAAGGATGCCTGCAATCGTCTTCAAAAAGATGGCCCTAGTTAAGCCAGCTGAGAAGGGGCTGCACCAGACTTGTGCTGAAATGGTAGGATACTTTCACTGTGATGGATTGATGATGCGCAAACATTCCTATGAATTTGATTCCGCAAGATATTCTGATAAATGTGCTCACCTGCCTCTCACGCGCGCTCAAAAAGGGTGCGTTTTTGACCCTATGTTGCAAAAAAGTCTCCGTAAAAAACTGCCCACTTGGGCTGATAAGTTCTAATTTTTCTGTCGTGCAATGCAGACCCTACGCTAACCAGCTGTATACTTACTTTGTCCAGGCCTTACTTTTTAGCAAGTAAGAGGGATGATTTGTCAGATGATGTCAAAACCGACCTGCCTCTCTTTTTAACTCAAAAAATTCCGAGCTTTAATCGTACGAGGTTTCCACTCATACTGGTAAATGGGAAATCCTAATGAGTCATTCGATGATTATGCTAATTTCACTCCCCGGATTTTGAACTGAAATATTGCTGGTCCAAAACTCTTGGTGAAAAAACGACATTAAGATATCCGGTACCTAATATTATTTGCACGCAATGAAAAATTAATATGTATGCGTACCATTAATGCTAGGTTCGGGAGCGCTCTTTCGAAACGGTTCCTTGTATGCTATGGGGAAAGCTGCACACATAGGAATTATATTTATTTTTTCTGAGCAGCCTTGGAGATGCTAAAGAGGAGCAGAAACGATGGCTATCGATCCCCGCTAATGACCATTTTTTGTGATCATAGATGTCTTGGAATTTTCACTGAACAAAAAACTTCCAATATTTCCTAATGAGCGCTAATAATGCTGAGCAGTGATAGAATCGCAATAATTTCGCTTTATCAGAGGAATTTTCTCTTCTTTTCACTAGCAATCCATGGCGCGCTCAGAAAATATTAATCTTCTGCTCCATGGACGTCCCTTCATAAAATCGAAAGAACCATTTTGAGAAATCTCCAAGTCATGAACCATTTCTTGGTTAGAGAGAGATTTCAAAGGCACGGGTTTCGATTGAATTGGTGCGTTATTTCGTTGGAAGATTAGACAACGTTTGCGAAGAGGAGCATTAGTGGCGGAAAAAGCAAAAAGGACCATAGAAAGCACCGGTTTCCTATGCGAAGTTGACTGTGATACGATGGAGAGACGCAACGCTTCTAGGAAAGCTAACGCGAAAGAGCATGTCGGACGTGAGAGGGCGCAGACGTTACGTATCCTGGCGGTTGGCAGGAGCAACACCCGTCCTTGCAGAGAGCAAAGTCATCAGCTCGCTTGTGTGCTCCCTTGCAGTGTGAAGTCGCGACAATACCATCAAAAAAGGGATCCTACTAGTACCTCAGCAAAGGAGCGAAGTTCTATAGGGATCTGATCGCCAGTAGGCGACCCGTGCTTTAACCTCGCAGAAGCACGGTCATTGAGCACAAAGTGGTTGCTTTCAGCACGTAATCACTGAGTGTTATGAAAAGGCATGTCAATCATCATCAGCTCTCCTTACTTGGGTAGAGTATTCGGGCCCTCAAATTCAAATGACGAGCCTGAGCTCGATTAAATCCTACAATAGCTCCCACATTGTTGGAGAAGAGATTGGGTGCTTGTGGTTGTCTCTAGGCTACCTTTTCCTTTGTTCTCATCTTTCTACCACTTTTGACGAATTCAATGCATCGCAGCAATACACTTCGTGAAATTGAAAAAAAAATCAACGAATTTACCCCCTTTTCAAATTTGTAGAGGAGAGGTATTTGAGTGCTTGAATGAGCGGAGCAGCCTGCTTTGCATCCAGTATTCTGAGTTTCTGTACTTCCAAATAAGCCTAGCATAACAAAAGCTTCTGCTAGGGATTTGATGGGTCGCTGAAATGACTCCAGATGAGGACAATATTGAACGAGGGGTTGTTAGAAGATTTTCGAAGGGAGTCGTATTTGAGGTGAGTTGGGTATAGCACTTTTGAAAGGAAAAAACCTCGTTAAGATTTTGGCAAAGGTTTGGAAACGCTTACCATTTCAGCTATTGAACGCACTCCACCTTCCCCTCCCTGCTCCATGAACTTATTGAGTTGGGAGTGTATGTGGGAAGACCGGCTTTACCCTGCACTGATTTTGAGACCCGAACAAGTTAGTGCCCCGGAGTTTACCCAACCCGATAGGTAACCCTGGTGATTTTTATTGTTGCGGTCTTGACCCGCATGCTACGCTCTCGTATTTCCATTTATATGTGTTTTTAAAAACGCTAATTCCAAGATGTCAGCCAAATCGTTTGTTTCAAATCCTCCTCGGTGGCATATGCGCTGGCTTGGGACAACTCCATTGGGTTCCATGAGGTCCACAGGGTTTTTGTTTTGTTGCCGATTACGCGACAATGGATTCTGACGAGGAGCGGAAAAAACCCCTGTAAATACCTTTTTCTACATTTCCGAACAGATCACAACAAACCCCAACGGTTTCCGTGAAAACACAGCGGTATCGACGGCACGTAAAAAACAACGGCACAACGGATTGGTGAGCTGCTGGGGCGCAATTCTCTCTGAAGCACTTTCCCTAGGCTGCGCCATGCATTTGACGCTACACAACGTCAGAATCTCAGGAACAATCTTGACACAATAACTTAGTTCTCGCGACCTCCTGGGCCATTTTGATGAATAGAATTTCAATAAATTTGTATTGAATCAAAACGCAAGAAAAAGCTAATTTTGAGCGAATGCCACTGTAGTAGCAGAGCGGCTGACGTTCCTAAATGGGCACCCAGGACCATCCCATAAGGGCACACCCATGTCAACGCGCTTTGAAGGAACTTCGGGGAGATTGAGAGCGGCTCATGCACCCAAAGTCTCTCCTCAAATGTCTAAGACTTGGTCCACTTTTTAGCAAAAGAATATGTATTATACGATTCGTATTGGAAAATGCACAGTACCCACGCAGTGCCTCGTAACCATGCGATCACACCTAGAATCCTCGATTTCCACAGATGAGCTTTTGAAGCGGCCATCCAATGAGACAATGGATGACTATAAGAAGAGGCCAATCATTGGACTCCATATACGCAGTGTGGTTGCTCAGCACGTGTGCATGCAATCTCCGTTCGGGCCTATCAAACCTCAAAGTTTTCCACTCTACTTAATTTGCCATGTATGCGTCCCTTGTAGAATTGCTCACTCACGGTGCAATTGTAGAGCAGTGCATGGAGTTGGTAGCATTAATTGTCTCACCACTATACCGCTTCTAACTTGGCGTCATAATCCTTATACAATCTCTTGGGAGCGTGGCGCATTCCCCTTATTGACGAGTGCAGATCTGGATCTTCTTTTTACGACCACGCCACGCCCCAGCGAGAGCGTACTAGCACCACCCCCGAACGCGCCCACGACAGCCCACCCTACTACCAAAAGACCTGCTGCCTCTGGGACTCTGTTCCTCAAGAGATGGGTGTATAAAAGCCATAGCTCATTCCCTTAGATACCGTTTTTTCCGGGTTAGTATCCCGCGAAAACACGGAGTCCTAATCCCATGAAACCGCTCAGTAGATAGTTTTAGAGAACATGCTAGCAATTAAACCATTGTCTCCCTTACATGAGTGTTATTTGCACCTGAACACATGCATGGAGGCGCTCGTAGGAGGTTCGTCGCGTCGTCGTCGTCGTTGTCGACTCCACGGCGAGGCGACGACGACGAGATTGCAATCTATGATGAACGATAAGAAACGAGACGAATAGCATACAGACGCAGGATGACATCAGACAGACAAGAAATACTCCATCACTAAACGAGCGAGCGACGAAAGTCGAAAAACTACCGACAGAAATGGTGTTGGCGTTGGTGTCGGTAGTGACGGTGGACATTCACCGGAGTGGCAGTTGTGAATAAAGAGATTCCCGAGGAGGTTTTCGAGACCTAAAAATCCTTGGAAGTGATGGTACAGAAGAGAGTCCTAAAGAGAAGCTGAGCAGTGGCCCCTAAAAAACCATACGAGAGCCAGGAGCGCGGTTCGAGGTCGAATCCGGTTCAGAGGCTCACT